CATTCTGGGGAGCCACAACTTCGCTCCCTAATCATTTGTATAAAGCTAGTGCTACTCTACATTTTTTTTTTTTTTTTTTTTTTTTTTTTTTTTTTTGCATTTTTTTTTTTTTTTTTTTTTTTTTTTGAGAAACACCCCCACCTACATGATAGCTTCATGCTTATCTTGAAATTATGATTTATCTCTACGAACCATCTACGTGCAAGCTGCCCTTCTATCCCCTCTGAATGGGAGTGGGCATGGGGAGAATCTCAGACAATGGCCCCATGGCGGACGCATACTGTGAAGAAAGGATACAGGGCAGCCTGGAAACAAGTACAGGTACAGGTGACCCAACAGATCATCAACCGATGGGAAAGAGACTCCCCTCTGGAGAAGGGGAACTTCATATGCTTCAGCTGGACCTCTTTGTCCCACATCAAACCGACCAATCACAGAGCATTGCAATGGCAGATCATACACAGATGTCTGCCTACTCCAGACTGGCTAACGACAAGAACTGACCTAGAAAAGCAAAGGCTAGCTCTCCCGGCTATGCACATACTCCGCCCACTCCACACTGCGGAAAAGGGCCACCATGGAGCATTGTCCGTTGGACTGCCCGATGGTGACCCAACTCTGGAGTTGGCGGGACGCTGCCAGGCACAACCTCACACAAACACACCTCCCCTGGGACGCCCACACCCTCCTTCGAGGAGGCCTCCCAGAGGAAGCGAGAGACTGGACACCTTTGAATTCATGGTCAATCGGTTCACATACGCCAGATTGACAGCGCTAATGGCATGTAGTGGACCTCGGGTTGGCCTGTGAGACCAGCCCCTTGGCCTGTTCTCACAGGCCTGTGTTATATTCGGGGTAGGCCAGTCCAGGCCGGTACCTCTGTCGSTACCAGCCAGTCCAGTCCAGTCCCGTCAGTCCGCTGGGGTATACCCCAGCCATTGTCTGTTTTCAGTCTCATTCCTCACTTGCACATTTTGGAGTACGTGCGTTGGAGTCTTGCATGAGGAGCTGCGTTGTGCCATCTTGCTCCCCCATTCTTCCTCCATCTCCATCTCTGTCACTAGCGGAGCACCGCACCTGGTGGGTCCGCTACATGGCAGCCTGGAGGATGCGCTGCACCTACGGGAAGAACACGACCGAGTCCAAAACATGGGACGTTATATGTCTTTACGTCCGAAATGGACTGACAAGAATGGGAGACTTTGCACCCGCGACAACCGCCACAACCTTTAAGTGGCAGCCCTTGCTCGTAACGGAAAGGCATTGGGAAAGACTGCCAAGACATTACTTTCAAGTGGAACACCAACCAACGAACTTCGCTCTCATTCCACAGCCCAACCCGGTATGCCCGACACCCCAACCGTCTGATTCCCGATCACAACCCTGAGGAGGAGGAAGAAGAGAGCCAGACAAGAGATGAAGATGTCAAATTGAAAGGAGCTATTGCATTTCTATCAACTTTGTGTGTCATCGTACGGCTAATTTGCTATGATGCAGACACTGTCGAACATGGTGGCAGCCTACTAGTAGCAAGGATAGTTTAAAACCTCGGGATTTTTACTTCATAGAGAAATCAAGCTTAATAAGATAAGAATAGCAAAGCCAGAACGAGATCCGACCACACACTTGCATACACAGCCGTGCTACCCGCGGCGAGAAACGTGTGCGGAAATCTCGAACTAGTTCCCAAAGAACAGATATGAACAACATAGCACATCAGCCAGAGCAAAAGCTATGGCATTGCCTCCCTTCCTCCGCCAAGAAAGAGTGAAAACGCTTGAGGATGGAAGCACCAGGGATCCCCGACTAGTTTCAGCCGCCGCCAGATAGTGGCCTCATCAGGGGGAGTTCGAGATAGCTACTAAGCTACAGTAGTGGTCTACTTATACTCGTCCTGTAGGTTTCGATTTCCCTGAAAAGTCGGCCGGACGGGCGTCGAGACCAAAGCCCGGAACCGCCCCTCCACAAGGTTCTGACCGAAGGACACAGTCCGATGCATTGCCCAGAATTCCGACCTACTTGACCGCGACAGTTCGTCCTAGTGATTACATCGGTGTACCCACCGGCCTGATATTCACCTTCCTCACATTATTACCCCGGTTCCAGTACCGCGTTTTCCGCTTGCTTCAGGTTCCCTCGATGTGCCCGCCGGTCTGATACTCACCTGCCTCGCATTATTACCCAGGTTACAGTACCACGTTTTTTGAAAGTCGTGTTCACGGACTCAATTTTTAATACCCTCGCACCATCGCACCAATACCGATGACGTAGCCATATTCCCGCCACACTTATCACTTGTGTAGTTATTCCTCTAACTCTTACCAATTTCCAAACCTGCACCGCCATTTCTCCCACGACGGAGCACGTCTACTTACAAACTTCCCCAGGCAATCATTAAACAGCCAAGCGGGATAGTTCTGCAGGCGCAGTTGTCTTTTTGTAGTTAGCAAGCCAAGTCCTGCCAGTTCATCAGAAGTCGACATACTCCGGATCCGATGCATCGTGTAGGTGATGACCGCCTTCTTCTGTCTCAAAGTGGAGAAACACTCGAAGTCCTGGAAAGTACGATAGGAGAATTTATCTTTCTCCCCCCCCAAGCTTAGTCTAAGCTTGACATAGCTTTGGAAAAAATTATAAACTTTTTGAGTTTCATTTTTTTCAAAAATACAAGTTTGACCTAAGCCTCACAATGAGGCCCCTAGGTTGTGTATAGGTAAACATGCATTGTGAGAACACATATCGCAGGTGTGTTATTGAAACACTGCATGGGGCGTGTTATATATGAGTTTGGGTGTAAGTTGTCCTTTAGTTCAGGGACTGAGAACTTTATACAACAAGGTAGTCTGTTGGGAACTGAGTTTGTTGGTTGTGCTACTTTCAACTATTGTCTTCTAAGGATGCATCTGAACATAATGGGGAGTATTTTACTCACGCACTCAATAGGCAACTTCGGTGTTTCTTTTTTTTTTCAGGGGGAGGGAGGATATGTAAGCTTATCACTCCGGTTTGCATATGCAAAGTAAAGTAAATGGAGACAATGCCACTGACTCAGCCGAATACACAAGCTTGTGGTACCACGGCGTACGCTGTGTGATAAACGATCCCGAAAGAGTTACTCTCCGAAAGACATACCAACAAATCTCAAGAGCCAGCCATAGCAAAGCTATGGCAAACGCCACCACTCCCACCGCAAAGAAAGAGTGAAGCCTCGACGAGCAGGGCGTACCTGGCATATCCCCTTACTGTCTGAAAGATATAACAACAAAGCTCAAGAGTCAGCCATAGCAAAGCTATGACAAACGCCATCACTCCCACCGCAAAGAAAGAATGAAGCCTCGAAGAGCAGGGCGTACCTGGCATATCCCCAACTAGTTTCGGTCGTAGCCAGAAACGGCCTCATCAGGGGGATTCGAGATGGTTGGGAACTCTAGAAAAGCAAAAAGTAGTGACAACTAGATCCTAGAATGTTGGAGGCAATAGCCTCAGTCTGGTAACAACTGACTAGTGTATAAGTCCTAAGAACAGCAAAAGCAGAACAACTAAATCCTAGAAACGTCGGAGGTAGTAGCCTCAGTCTGAGAGCAACAAAGCAATCAACAAGACAACCATATATCACATGAGAAGTGTGTCGCACACCAAAGGGTGGGATGGTCTCTGAGGGTGGYRAATGCAGCCTAGGGGTCGAAAACTCCTAAGGGCATCCACAYATAGTGACAGGGGAAAACACATGTCATCAGGCTCAATGAGGGTAGGGAACTGGGAGCGAACAGAACCAATGACCCTAACAGATAGACCATCAGGGCGGGTAATGCTCGACTAAGGGGTGACCGCTATGGAGGGTCGACCATGCAAGGGAACAAGGGAGCCTGGTATACTGGGCGCACCTAGATGAAGCATGCGGGGCTGCCTAACTAGGGCGTGGGGGCCGGCGAAGGGTAGAAAGATGATGGGTAAGGGAATCATGCAAATGAATCCTAAAGTGAGGGAAGTCGGAGCTAGATCCGTAAGATGGGAAGCCAGGGCAACGCTACGGTCCCGATGTCTATGCGTATACCAAGGGAGAGCCCAACTCAGAGGAACCCGGCTAAAGGGAGACCATCATGCGACACAAGCAGGGTACTGTACAGGGTAGAGTGGNCTATGCGTATACCAAGGGAGAGCCCAACTCAGAGGAACCCGGCTAAAGGGAGACCATCATGCGACACAAGCAGGGTACTGTACAGGGTAGAGTGGTAAGCGAGTGGCGACGTCTGAAGTAGGCAAGGCTGATCGTGATGAAGTCCATGAAGTCGCAGATGACGTCCACGATGAGAAGTCCGGAATGCCGTCGAGGAAGAGCCGCAGCGTCGACGAGCTGAAGTAGCAAAACTGATGTGGATGGAGTACTGAGAAGTCAAAGACGTGGGAAGGTAAGTCAGAGTCAATCGTCGTATCGAGCAGGACGACCACGAGTGCGCTGTGGACGCTCAGAGGCATCCGGCTGCTGCTGAAGGTCTGCCTCAGATGGAGCAGGCTCGACTTCAGCGGTCTCCTCAGCCGGAGGAGAAGGAGGAGGGTCAGTGGGCTGAGGAGGAGCAGTGAACCCAGCGCGACGAGCACGGTCATAGGCACGCACCAACATGCGAGTGTGCTGCAAGTGCTCGAGGGGCTCCCAGGTAGCCTCCTCATCAGGGTAACCCTTCCAACGTACGAGATACTCGACGTGGGGAGGGTTGTCGTCGGTGACTCGACGACCAATGATGTCTGAAACGAGGAACTCCTCGTGGCCGTCCACCATAATGGGTGGAGGGCGCTCGTATGGTCGTCCAGCGAAACGCTCAGACGGTCTGTGGTAAGGACGCAGTAACGAGACGTGGTAGACATCATGCACACGAGCCTGGCGTAGGTGGTCGGACAGCTTCACACGAAAGCTTCACGACGGCCTGGAGGATGCGGCATGGGCCAAAGAAGCGACGCCGAAACTTGCGAAGCGTGTCCGCTTGGAGCTGTAAGTGGCGGGCGTCGATAAGCACATCATCACCGACCTTGAATGGGTGATCCATCCTCGATCGGTTCGCACGTGCTGCCATGCGAGTCTGGGAAGCGGCTATGTGCTCATGTGCGGTCTTCATAATCGACGTCATGTGTGCAACCCAATCATCCAGCGCGGGACAACTCGTGTCGGGGTGCATCTGGGACGGTCGAAGGAAGTCCGCGGGAACACGCGGGTGATAGCCGAGGTCGCAATAGTAAGGGGACATCCTCGTGGCTGGCGAGACGGCGTGGTTGTAGGCTATCTCCGTGTGGGCAAGATGGAGATCCCGCTGCTGGTCGTCACGAACAATCTTTCGGAGAATATCCCCGAGGGTCCTATTCGTGATCTCGGTCTGACCATCAGTTTGAGGATGGTAAGACGAGGAGAAGCGGAGCTGAGTGCCGTACACCTCGTGGAGCCGTCGCCAGAATCGGCTGGTAAAGCGCGGGTCACGGTCAGATATGATGCTCAGAGGTAAGCCGTGGTCACGCACGACTCGGTCAAATACGATGTCGGCGACCTCACGTGCACTGATGGCATAGCGRCACGGAACAAAGCGTGCACGTTTCGTGAAGCGGTCGACGACGACCAGGATAGCATCATGACCGCGGGGGGTCGGAGGTCGAAGAGGACCGATAAAGTCCATCGAGATGGACTGCCAACGACCCTCAGGGATAG